CATAAACTGCAATCTGTAACTATAGACTGTCGTGTGTGATCACCACACAGACAAATCATTGTATGGTTTAATCTTGACAACTTCTGTATCTGACAACAGATGACAGGAATGTAAACGTGTTTGTTTCTTTTTTTTTTCTTCTCAATCAGCTACGAAGCAGATGAGTTTGAAGTGAATGCAACGATGATGTGTCTATAGAATACAGAGGAGGGGAACAGCTGACCTCAATACATGTCATTACAGCACAGTATTCAGTCAACACAGCCTGTCACATCACTTACAGCGCTCCAACAACTGAGTCTCACAACAAATGGTGGGTGAGGCATCGTGCAGCAGATTAACTGAGCTGTTTCCATGAGCGCTAACCATCTTCACAACTCAGAGAGTTTGAGGAAATGGGCGATCTGCAGCAGAGAATCCAACTCCAGTAACATGAGGCAGGAAAGAAGAACAATGTTTTCATTTTAGATTTTTTTTTCAAGCAAAGTTTACAGTCTTGGATTTCACACACTCCTCTACTTCACAAATTGTGCACTTTTTACCCGTCTAATGGTCTTAAGTTAAAAATAGCCAGCAGCATGAGCACATGAAGCAAAATGAATACGTTGATTAATGACTTTTTTATATTCCTGAAATGCGTTAGTGAGATTTTAGAAGAAACCATTTCACAGTTTTTGATAACCAAATAGAGTTATGTACAATTTTTTGCATTCGTTTGATTAAAACAGTAAATTGCAGCTCTAGCTGTTTATTTAAGGGCAACTTGCTGCAAGGTGAACCTCCATTTCAGCTCCATATCTTTTTTGTACACTCTGTTCCACTTTTGCTCTGGAGTTTTGGATCACACAATCATCTAACCAGAGTGGCTTGTTGTGTTTGCTCTGAAACTACATACGTATAAGCTAGTCTTAAGGCTTTCTTCTTGCCAGTGCTCAGCAAAGGCAACATTCAAGGAGTGGCTCTCCTATCAATATTTTCTCACCACTGTTATGAACCTCTGCTGCTCCTCCAAAGTTACCATGGGCCTCATTTCTGCTTTTATGATCAGTATTCTACTAGATTTGCACAACTTAAGATAGTTTTTTTCCCCCCAACCATTCTCCTTTCCAAAGTACTAAAAACTCAGTCGGACGGAGTTGAAAGTATATGCAAAAAATACTTATTCTAGTCTTGCCACTGATTCCTTGTTGGATTAAGATCAGGGCGACGGAGCCGTCCTAACATTTGAGCATGCTTAGATCTAAAGCATGCCAATAAATGTCCACTGATGATGACTCTGTCACCATTATGTTTCACTTTGAGTTTTGGTGTGTAATGTGAATTATTATATCTTTTTTTGTTGTTGTTTTTTCTTTCTCAGAAAGTTGAGCTCTGTCTAACTGGAACATCTGGCTTTTTCAAATTCCAATAAAAACTTAGCTTTCTTGCAACAATAAAAGTCCTCTTGGACAGATGTATGGCGTACAAAACTAATTGTGTCATGAGTGGATGGCGGCTCTTTTTAACTAATTAAACGACTTGTGACTGTAATTGGTTGCACTGGATTATGTAAGGGGATGTCAGAGCAAAGGGAATTATTTCCAAAAACCTTTGAAAACCATGAAACATTAAACTTCCACTTCTCTGATATTTTCTAACAAAAAGCATGATAGTTTCTGGTTGTTACGAAACAAGATGCAAAGAAAAGTTCTATATACATAAAAGACAGTTTTGCAATTAAAGCCAGTTACCATCTGGACTTCTCCAAGGCAGGATGTTTGCATGCGCCTTCTGAACAAACAAGCTTTAAAATAAGCCGTGGTTTTTCCAAACACAGACATCACCAAGCGCATCATCAATCTTAAAAAACAAGCATTTCATCTGCACCTTTTCCTTACTTTTTAGCAACTGTTTTAGGTAATCCATCTACTGTATGTCTCATTAGTCACTCTATGTTAACTTAGGAAAACAAAACAAAGAAATGTAATGTTCTCTTTTGTTTTACACTAATGCATCTTAAATTGGGTGTACTTCATTTGAAGACACAAATAAGAATAACTTAGAACGGGATATAGAGACACTTAATTATGCTAAATGGCTGTCCCTCGCATATTCACTTTGGGCATTCAGGCACCGATGTCTTTCTGATGGTCCAAATAAATTACTTTCAGAAAATATTCTGAAACACCCAACCAAGAAAACATATTTAGAGCAAATTGCTTGTCAAGAAGATAAATGCAGCAGAGAGTCAGTGCATGGTTATTTTCCTCTAACTTTTCCTGTGGCATCCTCACACACACACCTACACACACACACACACACACACACACACACCTACACACACACCCACACCCCCCCCACACACCACACACACACACACACACACACACACACACACAAAGAGTGCCAATTATAGTAACTGTATGATCAGGTTTCTTATACTGAGCCCCATGCTACCTTTGCCTCTAATCCTTTGTTATTAATTATATCTTCAACGAGCCTACACAGTTCTGGTGGTGTCAGCAGTGAGTATCCATGGGAACAGTAGGCTGGTCGCAGCGTGCAGCAGTGCACGCGCTCTGCATCCTGACAGGCTTGATGCAGAGATGCTCCGCTGACAAGATGAGCAACTCAGTAGCAGAAAGTCAGCGAGAAAAACATGATGGAAAACAAGTAGCATGCAGAAATCCAGTGTCCTCATTTGATAGGTACAGTTACTTAAAAAAGGTCAGACTTGACAAATTTCACACAATTGGAACAAATATGATGCAGCACCTCAGTTCATGATAATGCTAAATGATCCACCTAAGCTTCATGTTTCTTACTACAGATGTATTACTGTTAGATGTTACACCTTTTCCACATTGTTGCACATTCTGTTAATAAAACTTGCAACAACAGCTTGTTCTGCATCTCATGATCTCCCTGAGGTACTATCACATATTTACAAAAAATAAGCTAATAGCTGTTATTTAAAAAGGAAAAATTCTGCGCAAGGTTTTAACAACAGAGATGCAAGAAATGTGTTTATTTATAAATATAAAATTGAACACGCACGCACAACAGTGAGTGCAGTACTTAAAGCACAAAATCTATCATAATCAAAAAAATTGCACACGTACATCCCAAGGTTTATTGTTTTTTTCCTATTCATTTATCTGCAAATAATAACCTGCATGTCATTGCTTTACTCTAAAATTGCAAAAATAAAATACTCCTTAACTGATCTTTACCAACAATCATATTTCTAGTTATAAATAACTCACATCAAACACGGAGCCCAGAGCTAATCTCTAGATTCTCTTTCAGCAAACGAAGGACAGCTCATTAACTTCCAATTAGACCTTAATGTTCAGTGAGAAGAAGTTATTTGTGTTGTATTGCCCTTGCTGCACTTGGCAGGGATATTAATGAGGCAGCAAAATGAGCCTAGAAGGAATTAGATTAAAACTGGAAAAAAAAAAAAATTCCTCAAAGCATGCGAAAACTGTTAGAAGTGATTTTTGTGTTAATAGTTCCTTGCTGTCGTTCAGAAAATGCAAATATTCCTTGTGGGTTTTCATCTTTTCTCTGTGTGATGCCTGTTAATTAAGCAGGAGCACCTCTTCCTGGCTCGTAAAGTCACACGTGTACAACACGACAGTCTTCTGCAGCACAAAGTAAACAGAAACATAAAGAATACAGATAAGATCAATTGCTAATATACATTGGAGAATACTGAATTCGATCATTTGAACTAAATTTATCAAGCAAATAACGTTCTATCAAAGTGGAGAATGTGTGGGGGGGAAAAAATGGGAGTAATTGCTGCTACCTAGTGCCATCTATTTGTGAGACGGCATAATACAACCAGAAGAAGAAACTGTTTTGAAGTGAAGAAACTAAAATGAAAGTTTTCTTTCTACCGTTTTAAAACAATAAAGCTTTTTACGTCTCTGTCTCTCCAACACAGCATCATGCTGCCACCTCTAGAATGACTTCAGTTATGTTACAATAGAACAATATTTTCCAAACCATGCAGAAACTTCACATTTTTATTACTATTATTATTGTTTCCCCCTATTTACCTTATAGTTAGCATTGCAAATTGTTGACTTAGGTTGTTTAGTATGTGACTAAAACAACGTTTGAGCAAACATAAAAGTCATACAGCGCCAACTAACGGTGAAATGACAAACAACTAGTTGTAGCAAACCTGAGGATGTGAGATCAGTAGGAGTAAAAGTGGAGAACTGCAGCTACATACCGCCACCTACTGGTGAATCAAGATACACACAACTAGTGGAAGGAATTTAGCTTTTAAAACATTCAGATATATAGAAGTTGTTAATGTTTCCCTCAGTGGGCACAGACACTGGAACCATTTTTTATAGATGAGACAAAGTAGATTTCAACAATTTTTCATATACTTTTTGTTTTTTAATAGGATTATTATCTAAATTAAGTTGTGTCTTTCACATCTTCTCATTGTGCCAGAAGATATTGAGAAGTCTCCTTCCTGCAGCCAATATATTTTTCTTCACTGATCTATTCCACTTAAATTTGTTTATTTCTTGTAAGACTCTTCAGAAAGCCTACTGGCATCGTTAAGCCAGGACAGGAAAAACAGTCAGGAGTTTCTAAAAGAAATCAGCTAAAACTTCCACCACTTGCTACCAATTTTCTATGTATAAGAGCAGAAAATGTCTAAAATTTGCTCCAAATCTGCTTTATCTGTAGTAGGTTAAAATGCAGTGAGTATCATATAAAAAATTATATTTATATTAATTGTTTAGAATTTAATTTCAATAAAAGTAACAAAGAAACCAAAATAAAACATGCTTGTACAGTAATTTAAATTGATTTATCCCATAACAAATTTATTCTGTTTTTTTCTTATTTATTAAACTTAAATATCAGAACATCAAATCTATTCTATAGAAGATAATATCAAATGATTATTTCATTTAATAAGGGGGAAAAAACATACACATATTAACTAACCTAAAATTATAAATGTAGCAGCACAGAGACACAATCAGTGCTTTTGGAACAGAAAATATTTTTATTCTTAAAAAAAAAGGCATGCACTTTTTTGTTTTCATATTCCTATTTCAGTATGCAAACAGAGTACAAGACTGAAAATAGATTTGACCAAAATGCTTAAAAATACTAACTTACAAACACCAAACACCAGTAAACAAGCTTCATCTACATTATCTTATTAACCAGAGAACATGCTCAGAGTTCAATACAATCTGACGATCCACAAACAGAAGCATGTGAAAATAGCTATAGATAGAAAAGCTGAACGGCACAAAACAAGTGACAAATACAAATATTTCCAAAACTTAGAAAACTTGTGCAAGTCTGCTGTTTAGTTATACTAACATTTGCATAATTCTGCAGCGCTAAGTGTGCTGTTTGAAAACTAACAAGTAGTTTGGTCCAATGTTAAAAACACAACTTAAAAATACACAAAACACCAAAACAATAGAAGTTTTTTGTTAACATCTAGCCAGAAGAAAAACAGAAAGGCAGCATTAGCGTCCCTTTAAGTCACAGCATTTCTACCCTGGCAGTAAACCTCTGTGTTAAAATATGTATGTGTTACATACATATGTAAGAACATTGCCTGAAAATGATGGATCGGGCAATTTTTACCAAACAGGAGAGAGAGGACCGTTATGTGCTCAAGGCCAAAGAAAAATACAAACAGGGCACACAGAGGTTTAAAATAAAAATAATAAAATAAACATTAAAAATATATTTATTCCTAACTGAGCCTTTAAGAAGGAAGGAGATGCAGATAAAAGGTAACAACAGATTTTTTTTCTGTTTAGTATTAAAAGTAAAAAAAAAAGAAAAAAGTGTGTTGCCTAATATAACTTTATAGTGTGAAAATACATTTTGGCAGAAATTATATTCTAACCATATATATTGCAGAATCATTTAATAAAGAAAATTCTAACATTTTCTTTAGTGGGGCATTTTTAAAGTGGCAGTATTGTGTAAAAATCAACTTTTTTGAGCTTTACTTTATGTTATAATGTCACTCCCTCATCAGAAACATAACTGGAGTGTAGCTTTGATTCTTTCATGCATGTTTGAGAAATCCTTTAATCTCCACTGGCGGCCATTTGGATTTGCAAAACGCTTGCTCTCACTAAGCAACATCTTTTCCATTAGCAAACAGTTGAACTAAGTGATGCATGATGATGTAACTCATCATGCAGATGCGTTACACTGAGCTACTTCTCAGTGTAACGCTGATAAAAACGTTGTTAAAGTGTTTATGGAGAAACTCTGTTGTGACATTGTGCTGAAGGCGGAGTCTCTGAAAGAGCAAGGAGTTTCTTAAAGAGACAGCCCCTATTTCAAAGCATGTGATATTTTACATATACAGCATTTTTATAACAACTGATGGTGACATAGCTACTTGAGGTGTTATAAAATGTCCCTATGTGCCTGTAAAATACATAATACCTCCTCTTTAAAACATGATTAATTTGAAGCAAATTTCTTCCTATGCAGATAAGTTAGTGTGATGTCACTTGCAAATTACTCTTTTTTTTCAGGCTCCTCGATGAGCTTCCCTCTGTTGTACTTCTGTCCAATTCCATAAGGCACATGTGCAGATATGGTTCCCAGCTCATTGGCCCCCTCAATGTGGAACATCTGGTCGTCGAAGTAGATGTGAGGTTTGATTTTCTGCAAAAGAGGGCCCTTGGGAGCCCCGGCCAGAAAGAGGGCCTCATCGATCTCCAGGCCCCAGTTGCGGAGGGTCTTCAGGACACGTGCGCCGGAGCTGGCCGCGCTGCGTGCCGTGACCAGGAAGGTTCTGATCGGGCAATTCAGACGCTCGTTCTTGGCATAAAATTTTCTCTGTAGCTTACCAAGGGCCTCCAGGAAACACTTTAATGGACCCTGTGAAGCACAGAATCAGGTTAATATTCCGTAAAATGAGAAGTGCGACAACAGATATATTAAAAACAAGCTAAGAATTCATTCCTCTTAAACTTTTTTTGATATAAAAACCACAAACTTAATTTTTGGGGGGGAATTTTATAGTGATGTCCAAACATTTTTTTAATTTTTGTTATTTTACAAATAAAATCAGAAAAGTGCTGCATGCACCTGCATTCATATCTGAATCAATACTGTGATTTTTAAGTGTTCACAAAATTTTCAATTGGTTTTACATGGGTCCTTTGACGGGGCCATTCTTGCACATGAATATGGCTGCATGTTTTTGTTTGTCCTATTTGAAGCTGCAGTTCAAATTTTAGCTCCGTCAATCATCCCGTCAACTATGACCTGTGCTGAAGTAAAAGATAAAAGCTACTGTTCTCATCAACTCCTTGTAATTTCTTTAGTAAGTGCACAGCTTAATTTCAATGGGCCTGTATTATTTGATTGAGTTGACCCTATGTAAGATGAATCATTTCTTGGAAAGTACTTGAGAAAACATTTGAAGTAAATCTGCTCTACATAAATAAAATGAAATTAATTCAACTCCAAATTGTCATACTGGATTTTATTGAGATTTATTCAAGGGTCTAACAAGTAAAAGTGGGCTGAATACATATGCATGCAGCACTTTTTGCATTTTTATTTGCAAAACTTTTGATTACCAACGTATTGGTCTCCTTCTTAATTATGTGATACGTTGTCTCATTTTATCCTATAAAATCTCAGTATAATTGAGATTTGTTGTTGCAACCTGACACAACGTGAAATCATGACAGGGAATGAACAGTTTTGCATTCATAACTCCAGGAGTTAAGAATCTGACAAACCTGTATCTTCACATTCAGACTGGTTATAATGACAAGAATATAGATCTGTGTGCAAGTTCAGACATTTATCACAATTCACTGATGGAAAGACAAAACATGACGAATGGAAGAAAAAGAACCTTCAGAAGCTGCAACAAAAGTCATTTTAAAGCCATGTAAAAGAATATGAACACTGGGCTGACATGTTGCATAGAGTCATGGCATTTGTGTTATTTTAAGAAGACGTGTGATCTCATTTTTACAGGTATAAGAGATGTTGCACATAGATGACAGTGCCTTTTTACCTGAGCCAAAGGTTTATTCTCAAACTTTTTCTCATGCTCAAAGAAAGTGTCGAGGCCGTGCTTCTTCACAATGATTTCTGACTCGTCTGAGAAGAGGACGGCGTCACCATCAAACGCCACTCTCAGCTGAGTGTCGCTCAGATTGCTCTCCTGTTTTGGCATAAACATGGTGGCTGCAGCAATCCCTTCATGGAGGAAAGAAACAGTTACAAAAAAAACCTGCTGACATGTGCATGTTCTGTTCTTGGAATTCTGCCGCAGGCTAATGTCAGTCCAATATTTTATTATAAGATGTTTGAACTCACTCTGAACTTCAGGTTTCAGCAACCACCTGTGTGGATTTCACCATTCTCTACCGCTTGAATGTTTCCACGTTTTGCAATGTTATGATCACAAACTTCAGTGCGTCTTTCTTGCTTTCTTTTCTGGTTCTTTGTGGATGTGCATCATTTTGGATAAAAGCAGCAAACCCTTACATTTAACAATTTGAAACTAGTAAATATACACCATATTTGATAAGAAAAAGAGGCATTTTTGTCAAGAATATGCTATTTAAATTTTTAGATTAGCCTGGAAGAGCCATAAAGCTCAGCCTTTCTGTTAATCAATGTGTAGCGCTTTACAAATGCGTACAAAGTCTGAGAAAACAAATGATTACTATGGAGATTTGATAATACCTATATGCTACTCTTTGCTGCAAGTTGCCAACAGAGACATGACACAATTTTTTTCCCCCAAACATAATGTCTTGACCCTTGTGTTTTCTTGATTTTGACTATGATGTATGATTACAAATACTTCAGTTTCATTTAGTGTAAAAAAAATCTTTAGTGGTGAAATTAATTGTGGCACTGGTGATTAAAAATTATTTCATAATGCAGGATATTTTTTTTACCCACATAATAAATATATTGGAATTAAATGTTGATTTTCTACTGTGAGATTTGTGCAGCTGTAATAATTTTTTTTTCAGGGTTTTCATGAGAGGTCCCAATAATTATGGAGGGAAACGGTATTAAATAAATATTTAAAATAAAAGTTTGTGTGTCAAATGTTCTGGCTGTAATAAAAGTATATCTTCTCTTACCTTCCTCTATTGCTTCTGTAACTTTCTCTGGATTTTTTGAGAGATAAAGGTTTGTCATGTAGGCCTTCAGGTAACCTATAGGACTTTTCCCTCCAGTCATACAGAATCTCTCTATGGTCAAACCTGAAAGAGCATCAAATACATTAGATATGCATGAAGAATGAAACACCAGCTCTATCTAATGAGTTCTCTTCTTGATTATGCCTGCTGATGTAGCAAAGCGGTGAGACGTTGCAGAGCTGAACGATTAACAATGTTTGGTTAAGAAACGCAGCGTACCGTAGTGATTAATGCTGTTAATGAGGCGCACGCCGACTTGAGCGTGGTTGTTAGTCATCAAGACGATGTCAAACAGTTCCTCACTTTCTGGGTAAAGGTTCCTAAGTCGAGTGTTGACATTCATGAGAGCCTGCAACACATACCAGACCTTCTTAACACTCAAAGAAAAGAAAGCATATTGAGTTGTTGCAACGCAGTATTACAGAAGGTTTGCCACACTTTCCTGATTAAATAAATTGCACAATATATGCTCTGACTGTGGAAATAAAGGATTTTAGTGAGTTTGGAGTCATGTATTTCCTATATTAAATGAGCATATTATACTATAGAAGCAGTGCAAACGGATGGATAAGATTCAACTCAACTCATGTTCCACTTCTGGTAACAAAATTAGGTCAGATTTTTTTCATAATGCCACTGTCAAACCTGTGACACCTGTCTCAATGTATTGAGCTAACCAGCTCAATACATCAGGAAAAAGGAGCACGAGAAACTGGAGAAATACCAGGGCCTCAGGGAAGAACTGGAGAGGGCCTGGAAGGTGAAGACCACAGTGGTGCCTGTGGTCATCGGGGCCCTCGGGGCAGTAACCCCCAAACTGGAGCAGTGGCTACAACAGATCCCAGGAACAACATCAGACATCTCAGTCCAGAAATGTGCAGTCCTTGGCACAGCCAAGATACTGCAGGACCCTCATATATATATATATATATATATATATAATATATATATATATATATATATATATATATATATATATATATATATATATATATATATAACATATTCCAAGAAAACAATTGCATAATAATTAACACACAGAGGAGCAACATTGAAAACAAGAGCAATGTGAAAATTCATAATAAGAGAAAGAAAAAAACTTATTATGGGAGTCGGAGATTGACAAGTAAATATCTGTTAGGCTGTTCAGTCTACTGGCAATTATTTTGCAACATACTCTAAAAAGTGTTCCTATAATCGTGACTGTAGTTGTATGATTATCATAAGTTACCGACTCCTAATGTGATAATCATGAAAGATTTTGATTCTTTTGGTGTATTTGAATGATTGGGTAACATCAACGTAACAAACGTAACTATTTTGACCAGTTTCTTGATGGATGAAGATGTTCTATTAAACAGTTTCTTTTTTCAATAAAAAAATGTAAACACATATTAATATTATCATTTATTTTCGGATAATCAATAAAAAAAAAAAACTTTCTGTAATTCTGTTGAGCTTTTACTCTTCTGTCACCAAAAGCAGAAAGGGCACCAAAACTTGCTTAGGGTCCAACATCCCCTTAAATACGCCTCTGCTAAGAACCATGACCGATGGCGTGTTGCCAGTACCAGCAACTAGCCTCCAACTGGAATGTCTTAAAAGGGCCCACGCCCGGAGTTCCTGCACTTTGCCACTCCCTGAACGACAGGCCTACCTTTACGAAAGGGAAAGCAGGTCCGGGCTTTAATGGCTCGTTTTCATGTTCCACCTGAAAAGCGACGTACTTCTCCAGTCCTTCATCCTCGAAGAGTTTCCTCTCTGCCACCATGTTGAAGAGGGTGCGAGAGGAGACGGCGACAGTCACCGCATGCTGGGGTTTGGGCTGACACAGACAGAGAAAGGCAGAAAAACCATTAAACTAAACTACTTTGAAAGCTATCATGTTAGGGATAAGTAATAAACTCACCGGCCTCGGTACTTTTGTCTTCAGACTGTCAAAGAAAGCTTTCGCTGCTGCCCAATCTTGTTCCTCTTCATTGTCTTCGGTTACTGTTTTTTCCTCTGGTTTAATTTCGCTCATTTTAAAAAATAAATAAATAAATAAAACTGATGTGAGTCGAAACAAAATCTAAAACAAACTCAGCTAAGTAGCCTGCAGTTCGCTACATTTACTCTGTTGCGCCTACTAAACTTTACGGAAGTGTAAGTAAGGAAGCCCGGTGGGAGTTCCCGTAGTTCCTACCAACAGTGACGCAAGTCTTTCACCGCATGGTTATTGACTACCGCAGCGATGCGTTCTGTCGACGGCTGTGTACAACTACTGCAGTAGTAGTAATAAACTAGAAGTTTATTACTACTAGTAGTTTATTACTAGTAGTAGTAATAAACTAGCTTCTTATTCGTGGAATAGCCTAATAATGAATAATTGTTGCAGAAGAAGAATCTTGTGCAGGCGAAACTGATACAGACGTCACAATAAACTGGAAACAAATTAATTAACAAACCGATAGAAACTTGACTTAAACTCAGCTAAATGTTAAGCAAATGTTTAATGCTTAAAAAGAAGGCATACTTTGATTTTGCATAATGCCGTGAGCAAATTAGAATTGCGTCCAAAAAAATGCAGAGAATAGAACTTTATTGGTTTTTATGCGACACTATTGTACAAAGTGAATAATGCACATCCCCATAAATACAGCTTCAGTAATCTTAAGTATGTTCATGGCAGTATCATGCTGTGGGAATGCATGTCCTACAGGGACGATTGACAGAGTGGTTGGATGGACCTAATTACAAGACAACCAAACCCTTCATTGGAAATGTGCAAATGTTTCAATGGAATATTTATGCAAGACAAGATTATTTGAATTAAATAGAGAGCAATCTTGGAAGAACTGTAAAAGGCTGCAAAATACTAAATATTACTGTTTATATAAATTAAATCTGAACGCAGAAATATGAAATTGTACAGCAAATAAGCAAGTTGCACTTTTCTTAATGTGAGAACAATGTGATTCTAGGAATATGTGCAAATATATTACAGAGGCAACTCTAAGACATGCAAATGAAATTACAATAATTTGTAAAAAAAAAAAAAAATGTTAATAATGGACTAGGTTGTATTGGTCAATCACATGAAGTCCTAAGACTTTATGAAGTCTGTAGTTATAAAGTGACAATGAAACTGGGGGTGTGGGGTAGTTTAAATATTCTATTTAAATGTTTAATACAATACGGGCATCTTGGAGCGCTGATCTCGTTAAATCTTTAATTGCTTACACAACTGTGACTCACACAAACACATGAATGACCTCCCTCCTCGGCTGCACCCCTCCACCCAGCAGTTGGTTGGTAGAGTCCGGGACGGAGCATCATGGCGATTGACGGTAAGTCTGCCTCTCAGGTACCAGCCCGCATGTTAAACTTTACTATGAAACAGAATAGGGATTCCTCCATACGGACGATCGAGTCCGATTATTTCTGCGGCCGGTCTCCCTCTGGATCCACGCGGCAAGAGAGGCGCCGCAGAGCCGGGGCGCGCGGCGCGCGGCGCGGGACGAATGATGCTGAGAGATGCGGACACTTTGGTGATGCGGGACGGCTGTGGTCCGCTTGAGGGGTGCTCACGTGAAGTAATGCGACATGTAAACAGAGACGGAGACAGCTCCGCGGGGGCTCGACAATGTCACAAGTAAAGATGCATTAGGAAAACATTTGTCCAAGACACAGCCACAAAAAAAGAATCATTTAAATATGTAAAGTGAAGCCGCTGTTACACTGAGACCGCTCTGCGGATGAAGGAGATGGGATCTCGACGCTGTTAGTTTAAAATCATTCTGTTTCATGACTCTGTGTGCCGTTTAGCTCGTTTTATCAACACTTGGTGTTTATAGTGAGTAGTGATGAAGAGGTCTTCTGTCACTGAAATTCAGCGGCTGAGCAGCGTTAATGTCACGCGTGGCCATGCGTGCATGTTGGGTGAGTTTAATGACGACCTGCCAGCAGTGTCCCACCTGCAGAAAGTCAACGTCGATCTTCGATTGTCCATTCACTGCTCTTCTGCTTTGAGTACACACTTTAGTCCGAAGGATCTTAACAGGGGTGGTTCTTGCGTGATTGGCGCCCCGGGTGAACCGGTGCCCTTTACATTTCCCTCTTTACAAATTAGAGGGTAATGTGAGTTGACTAGTTTGAGCCACAATCCCTTTGTCATGGGAAGAGGAGTGAAATAGACCCAGTCTCTCTAAGAATATACAGTAAAGTGGTTGAATATCTTTGACATGTCGCATGGTAAATGAAGAAATGTAGAAAAGAAAGCACATTTTTACTCTTACGCTACAAAAATGTAGTATTTATTTTATGATGTTCTCTTGTGTTTTACTTAATTAATAAAGCGCCCATGCAGAAAAAAACAAAACAAAACAAAAAAAAAAACAACAAAAACAAAAAAAAAACGCCACTGCTCGTGAATAATTTTAATAACAGAAATAACATTGAATATTTGTTAAGAGAAAAACCCCTCAGACCTCAGTTTGGCTAAATGCAATAAATGAATCTTCGAGCTCAAGCTCTGACTGGGTCTTGAATGTGCCAAGTATCAGAAAGGTTCAAGACTACAAAGTGAATTATATGCACATGTGCGGCACTTTAATCTACTTGTTGGCTTATCTAACCTCAGTAACCTCTGTGTAGTCTGCAAATGTAAAAATCGACGGAAATGATTTAAAAACAAATAGTTATGGCACTAAATAGAAGACAAGGCCAAACTGTTCTGTTGCAGTCTCACAAGCTTGGACTACTTTCTCAAATTCAACAAATGAGAGACTTAACTTTTATTTATGACATACTCACAGCTGGCAAGAGTTCATTCTGACTGGCATGAGTATAAGGCCAGAAGTCTGATAATTAAAACTTCTATTTCTTTTTGGGATTGTCCAATTTTTTTTTAAACTGAATGTCAGACAAAAGTAATACACCATCAGAAACCCTAAACAATTTAATATTCTTAACACTAACTAAATATGAACTTCGTAGCTAAAGGAACACTAGGTGATAAAGGAACAAGTAATATTTTGTGAATTATTGCATTTGATCAAATACAATTATTGACACTCCTGGATATATCCACAAGGGGTCAGTATTTGGTCCAAACACCTCCATTATTATTAAATATTTTTGTAAAGCATCTTTTATGTAAAACCGTTTGACAACTCCCTGCATTGTGTATAATTTTCTGAGAGGGGATACAAATAGTATATGCAGCAAGTGTGAGTTATGAGGCTTAAATCAGAACGTTTTGAAAAAGAATCCATGGTGGACCGGTTGAATATATTTTATTCATGTAAAGTACATACATTATTTCAGGTGTTATGATTGCAAAGTTGTAATGACACTAAAATAATTTCCAGGATCTTTGGCAGGCTTATTTTAGGTGCAGTACATTGAATATACGTCTTTAAATATTATTTTGGATTGATAAAACAAAATCGTTCAGCTAGGGAATAAAGTACGTTTTGACAGTTCAATCAGTAATCCTGCTTCTTTAGCTTTTTCTTTTATCTCTGTGTATTCCAGGAGGAGGGAGAAACTGTGGTGCTCATGAACTCATCTGTGCAAGACGAGGTAAGACATGTCTTCAAAAACCTTTAATACCATTTCCAAGTTTTTTTAATGTCCTTGTTTATTTACAACATTTTACTGTAAATGAATGTAGATTTTTTTCTTTTCACTGTCCTCAGAATACAGTGTTTCGGTGAATTATGTATGCCGTATCAAGTTTTGGTTTGCCTCAGCGAAAGAAGGCAGCTGTGTGTGCATGATTTATTCAGCATGTAGGTTTTGTTTCGTTCCAGGTGTCCATGTGTAAGCAACGCTTCCATATTCCAAACAGCCGCACTCCTTAAACTGCATCATCCTCTGCTCCAAAGACTTAAACTTATATTTATTTTTACTTTAACTTGACATAAATCTGACAGATTAATTAGACTCCCTTGTTTTTATTTTCGCTGAGACGAGCTCACATTTCTCTGAGGGCATTATTCATTTCAGAACGCTTCAGTGGCTACGTTTCCACGTTTGTTAGACAGCTTGCAGGAGTCATTAGCTGGAGAAGCAAGCTGATTGAGTCCTGAGGCTGAGCTCAGAGTCCAACAGTTCAACCTCAGTTCACAGACTAATTTAGCTAGGCTTTCCTAGTTTATTTTGTCAGGTCAAAAAAATATTGAACACAAACACTTATGAAGGAAAGGGGGGCATCACCTCTGCTGGCAAAAGAGATGTTGGGGATCATATAAACTCCTCCGCTTTCAAGTGTACATCGATGAACGCTTCAGGTTACCTCAGGCCTCTGAATTATTCAGCCGTTGTTAAGATTTACAAAGCAGAGTGATGTATGAAGCGTCATCACATCTCTTTAACGCCAGCGCCATAAGCTGGAAGTTTTAAACAGATGGCTGATGTGCCCACAGCTGCAGAGGTCATGCTGGCTCAATTGGCAGTGAGAGTTGACACGTGAACCTTAAAACCTCCGGATCTGATTAAGTGTGAGGGTTTACCTCAGAACTGGATGACTTTGTGTTTTAAGATACAAACTATGTCTGGATTATAACACAATTGCGGTTACAAGGTAAGACTGTCGTTTTATTATCTAACTTGTGCTTTGCCATTCTTTGGGATTGGGCATTGATCATTTTTGGCAGAGTGCAGCAGGCATGCTGTACTACTTGAAAAAGCTGAAACAGTGTCTTTCCTGTTACTATGGTGAGAAAAGTCTGTCCATGCCAAGTTTAGTTCACTTTCACACCATTTAAGGAAGATCACTTCAGATCTAACATGACTGCTTATGTTAACCAAGCTTCATAAGTTATTTTAATCAACAACGCTGGGAAGCTTAAGCAACATTTTAAGTGCTTTAATGCTCTACTTGAATATTTGTGGGTTTGACTGAAAGTAATATTTGTCTTCAGTGTTAAATGAAATATTTATTTTAATTATATGCAACATTTTCAACTAAAACATTGTCTAGTGTGTGTTTGCACCTAAGGCACAAACCTCATGTTGAGGGGTCAGAGCGATTTAAAATGCAGCGCTCTTTGTGGGATTGCATGACATGCACAAAGGCAGGCGCAAAGGATAAATTGATGTTCATTCTTCATTTTATAAATGTCTCCAATTGAGACTATTTTCACTGAAAACAGTTCCAGGATCCTTGGCAGGAGTTCGTTGGAAGCAAAAAAAGAGTAAAAAAGTGTAAAAACTTAAATCCAGTCATTTTAACTTAATACTTAAAAAACTGAACTCATTACAGATTTTCATATTACAGGTGTGTATGTGTGTGCAGAACAAGGGGGCGGGGGATGTCTTCCAAGAACAAATTGCATCAATTCTTAAAGCTCTGAATTGTCTTAGGGTCAATTCAATCCTTCACTAATTTGTTAATCCACTTCATGCAAACATGCATCTTTTTTGTTCTTACCTATTTCCATGTTCATAAACATAAATCTCAATTTAGTTCTGTGGTAAATTTGTCAATTTTGAAGACATATGGAGAACATTAAAAAATGTACAAAAGGCTAACTTGATGCTCTGTTGGTACAAAACCTCCAATTATAGCTTCTTATTGTACCTGGACTACATTGAGAATTCAATCATCAAAGGAACACGAGAAGGCAAAATGACCAGTGTTCTAGAGAAATAAAAATCAGTTTCCTGAGTCAAGAAACTGAATTATAAAGATGCAGCAGCCAATATAGGTGAACTACCGACTGAAACATCAACTGCAGAAACATTTCTGTTATTTAGGGAAATTAATTCTGGAATGAAGCATTTTCAGCAGTGAAAATGATAAAAAATACACCACTGTCATTGGTTCCAAGGTTTTTGTGCATTAAACCTGCAATATAGTTCCATATTGTACCTGAAAAGTTTAAATCTAGAAGTCTAAAACCCTGACATACTTTATCTGCTTAATAATTAAAATGTGTCAGTGTGAGTTTAAGTCACATATCTCAAAATATATAAAAAGCCAAACAAAATAACACTTCTTATTATGAATTTTGTCTAGAAATTATTTTTCTTACTAGCTGTTCTTTCTTTTTAACGGTTAAAAACGTTGCTCAGACTGCAGCTAATCTGCCTCCTAAATGATGGTCTAGTCTGATCTTTTGGGCTTTACTGAATCTACTTTTCTGTTAGATACTGCTCCTTTGAGACTCTAGTAAAAATAGCACAGGGCTGCCTGCTTGGTTACATGAAGTGTGGATGGCCTACATACACCGCCGCAGCTTATGTCTGCCTATGAAGTAAGAGGAATAATGGTGGATTCAACTCACAGCAGCTTATGCTCATCATTTTGACTGAAAAGTTTAGACTTATTTCAGTGAGAGCTGTTTATTTTTAAAAAAATAATAAATTATCAATAGATGATTGTTTATACAGTAACTCAGTTTTGTGTGATTGTTGCTCAGCTCCAAGAAGATTTTCCGCTTCTTTAAAATTATTTGCTGTAAAATGTTTTTACTGCAGTGTTGCATTTTTCTAATTTTATTTCTTGTTCTCTTTCTCTTTTTCTTGTCTGCTCTTCTCTTCTCTTCCCCAGTTTCTCCTGAACTTCTGGGTGTTTTGTCTTCCATTGCAGCCTTTGTGGCATTGATGGCTCTGTTTTTTTTTTACCTCAGCAACAAACTGTCTGTGCAGAGTCCCGACAATCTGTCACATCTCAATGGACAAAAGAACCCCCATCAAGGTACTCAACACATTTAAACACTGGCCATAGGAGCAGAAATGCTCTCAGTTATTATTTATAAGTCTAAATTGTGTTGTAGTGTTTGCAAGATTTTCTTTCAAAGAAACACATAAACTAAATTCAACAATCAGTAGCCTTACCTGAAGAAAATTTAACGTCTCCACCCAGATCCCAAAACCAAATCTTAACTTTGGGGTAATTTTGAAGAGAGTTGTGGGCAATAAATATACTCAAAGTCCCATGGATTTGGTGAACAAAGTCTACATCAACAAATTAGTTTAAAGGTTGCATACCAGAACCACTTTGTAGGTTTTTTTGTTTTGTTTTATCAACACCTAACTCTCCATGGTTTAGTTTGGTTTTCAATTGAATTAACCTTTCAATTCTCCCATAAATTTTCTTAAAATTCAGTTTCACATTTAAGCAGCAAACATTTACCCAGTGTAGGCTAACATCTATTATCAACAAGCTGCTGAATGCATGTACTTACTGTGATGATGGCATCACACCCTGCTAACCACCACATGTCTGTGTCAGTGCTTCTGATGAGGTAATCTCGTGATCAGCGTGTAATAGAATCCCCCGACTGAGAGATGGCCTTCTTTAAGAGCTTCCAGCCGACCCTGCCGTCTGTCAACATTTCTTCCATCCTGGACTCAGTCACCAGTCGTGTGGATGATCTGGCCAACGCAGTCAGCGATGCCACATATGCCGTCAGCGACCAGCTCACCGAGCAGGTTACTACGATCATCAACAAGGTGCAGGAGGAAGAGGAGGGGGAAAACAGCAGGAGCCAGGACGCTGCTCAGGCCTCCAGCTCGCAAGAGGGAAGGGCCGGTAATAAAAGCATGTGGCAAATGCAGAGAAACTCAGACGCTGGCCAGACTGGGTCGAAAAACAACCAAAACAATGACACACCGGAGGGACAGAACTCCCAGAGTCAACTGGAGTGGGAATGGAGGGATGGATGTTGGCGAGTTAAAAAGACGGAGGCCGAGCTGGCAGAAGAAGAGATGAGAAAAAAGGAGGAAAAGAAGATGCAGGACAAAAGAGAGCAGAGAAGAAAGGAGAGGAGAGAGAGGCAGCTGGAGAAAGAAGTGGAAGCCAAAAGAAACAGAGAGGAAGCCAACAAAGGAGGGAAGGAAGAGGAAGATGAAACTTATGAGAAGATAGATGACAGAGACGGACAAGAAAGGAAGACAAATGAGAGTGAAGATCCAATATATGCTCTGCAAAAAAGTGATGAATGTGATAAAACTTCTTACTTAGCTGATAGTGAAATAGAAACAAAGACATCAAAGCTGGAGGAGGAAAAAGACGGAGAAGCCGAAGAGGGGCAGGAGAGAGAAGCAGACAACGAGGAAGAGGATGAGCCATCTAGGTCTTCTTCTAAAGTCAAAAAGAAGAAGTTGGATAAGAAAAAGGACAAAGAGAGTTCGAAGAAACCTGAGGAAGACTTAGATGTGGAGAAGAAGAAAGACAGAACCAAGAAAAGCAAGAAGAAAAAGACAGGAAACCAAGGTCAGAGTGAGCTGCTTCTGTGTGAACACCAAAATCTGGATCTCTGCTCAAGCTTCCACTCTTACCTTTTCGGAGTATTGTCCTCTTCTGCGTCTTCTTCTTGCCTCTTGTCTTTAATAATTGCATTCACCATTACTTAAGAGATAAATGTAATGCTTGAACTAAAGTGCCCATATGTCCTGTGCAGATGGAGTTGTATCAAACAGCAAAGAAGAGAAAAGCCCAGAAGGTGTGACCCAGCAGAACATAACGTCTGCGTGGAGCAAAGGCAAACAGTCCAGTGAGCAGGGAGGATACAGCAGTGAGGCCTCCAGCGAACAGGGTGAGGCTGCACATATGGTCTTCTCTCTAGTTTTGCAACATCTTTTTGATCTAGTATGATGGGAAAAATATGTATTTAAATTCTAAAGGTGGCACATGGCCCATTCAAAATAATTTGGAGACATGAGGAATATTTTTTTTAAGAAACATATCCCAGATAACAAAGTTACAACTTGTCATAGCATAATTACTGTTGCACCATAGTATAATTATAACAGTAATATAAATATTTGCCATATTTTTCAAGTAAAACTAATTTTGTTTGACAGGACAGGTAAACAAAAATGTAATTGCTTAATTTAAGATGCATGTTTGAATTAAAAATAAATCTGCCAATATACTACACATGATGAACGTTAAGCTTTGGCCTGCAGTCCTGAGGAAATTCACTAAAAAACTTCAAAACCAAAAATCGAAATGAACTTTTCAGAATTTTGTTTTTGTTTTGTTTATTACGACATATCATTTGCAGAAGACCAAGCTAACTGGCACCCAGATGGCAGCTGGTAATGAATATAGAAAACTCAAAGGACAGAAAAGATCATTTAGAGTAAATTATATATGCTTTCTATTCAAAATCTAAATCTCAAACTTTACAAATGTAGTCTTTACATCCACATTGTATTATAGGAGGTGGTATTATAGTGGTGATAAATATTTAGTTCAAGAGATGGGAATAGAAAAATAGATAAGCCACCAATGACAAACAAAACTGTAAAAAGCGTTAAATCTGCTGAGTTAGCTGAGAAAAAGCATGAGTGACTTAAGACAGCTGGCAGCAAACCCAGACAGTAACTCTGTGGGCAAAACATTTTAGGACTTAATTTTGATTCTGGCAGCCATTCAACCATGGAGTCCAAAGGACACCTAATGAAAGTTTCTGCATAGCACAGTAACAGTGATTCCGTCTCATGTTACTTTGTGTTTGTTCCTCTTTGTCTCTGCTGTGTCTCTAGCTGCCAGTATTCAGAGGATAAAGAAAGATTCCTCTTTAACTGAGCTCCAGCCTCCGCCGTACCAACACGTGAGCTCAGGGACACGCAAGTCCTCACGCTCAGAACGAGGAGTCAGGAGACCGCCGTCCCCGCAGCAGTCCGACAGCCCTCGCTGCTCCAGCGAGGGCAGCGTGGAGCAGGACACTGAGAGTTACCTCAACAAAGGCTGTGAGGAGGACATTCCCAGTGACAGCACCGCTGTTCTGAGCCCAGAGGTCGGTTCTGATTCTCATTATTTCAGCTAATGAATCAATAAACTTTCAGAAAGGTTTAATATCAAATACTCTGTGAAAAGTACCACAAGGAAGAGTATAAAATTGTTGTACACCATCATGTTATGTCAGTAATTTACAATGTCTTGCAGAAGTGTTCATAATCCTTGATCTGGCTCCAGATCAAGATCAATCCTTGTGAATTAAATCCACAAGGATTTAATTCCCTTTCTTCTGAAAAGTACAAAGTGCTTTTCAGAGAAACACCTTTCACTACTTTCACTACTTCAAGTCGCTATAAATTTGAATATTGAGAGACTGAGATTGTTGTTCAACTGTCTTTACAAAATAATTGGGTGGGGATTTGTTTATGAATGTCAGTTTTACAGTTCTTGGAGTCAGATATGCATTTTGACTAGATTATTCTATATCAGGTAAAAGCTTTATGTATTTATTAATAGTTTGTCTTCCACCTCTAAGTTATGTGCTACTTTGTGGTAAAGTAGAATACATAGAAAAAAATATGAAAAGTTACACCTCAGGTTGGGGTTGGCGCTATGCATTTTGTGGTACTGTTGAGATGATGATAAAAGTGACAATAAGATCTATTTGTTATTCTCATTGAATAAACAGTGGAGAAAATATTAAAATGAATAATACAAGACATTATTACTTGAAAATCATTGTGACAACCATAAATCAAAATTCTTATCATAATAAGAAATTTATTACAATAAATGATAAATAAAACGATAAATGCCCACTCCTAAATTCAGGATTTTTTTTACTATTATTATTTAAGTGGTTATCATTGGCAAAGAGTTAATGTTTACTTTATCAGTCAGTACCAGAATGTGAATGCAACACCTCTGTTTTTGATGTCTTTAGGATGGTTCTGGTCTCCAGCTTCCTTCTGCCTACGAGCCAGAGCCCATCGCACAATACGGCACGCTGGACGTCGCCTTCGAGTACGATTCTTCTGAGCAGTGGCTGGCCGTCACGGTGACAGCCGCCACCGACATCCCCGCTCTGAAACAGACGGGCAACATCGCCTGGCAGGTCCACCTGGTCCTGCTCCCCACCAAGAAGCAGCGGGCCAAAACGGGCGTGCAGAAGGGTCCGTGTCCCGTTTTCACAGAAACATTCAAGTTTTCCCGGGTGGAACAGGAGGCCCTGGGGGACTACGCCGTTCGCTTCCGCCTGTACAGCATCCGACGGATGAAAAAGGAGAAGGTCCTGGGAGAAAAGGTGTTCTACTTGACTAAGCTGAACTTGCAGGGGAAGATCGCTCTGCCCGTCACCCTGGAGCCTGGCTCTGAACTCACAGTGAGAACAACTTGTGAAATTTTACCCTCCTGTATGCTGACTTCACATGAAGCTGCATAACTTGATGATTCTGGGGTTTTTTTCTATCATGCCAGGGTTGTGGCTCTCTTGTAAGTGTGTCTCGTAGCGCAGGTGCTTTGTCCTACCGCTCCACCGAAGACTCATCGCTGCCAGAGATCCTCCTGGGTCTCATTTATAACTCTGCCACAGGACAGCTTTCTGCTGAGGTTATACAAGGAAGCCACTTCAAAACTGCAGCTTCTGATAAACCTGTCAGTAAGTACTAAAGCTATGATGTGGAAGCCCTTATCTCTTGAATTTAGTTCCAGCTTGCTCTGAATTTATTATTATTGCAATTTCATTTTTCTTTTGCTACAATATCTGTCTTTCAAACTGGCTGCTATGAGGAGAAGAAGGTCAAATTACACTGAAAATGTAGAACACAACAGCGCATAATTTAAAACTACAAAACTATATTGACTTAGCATTTTAACTCTAGTTTTGTTGAGGTGCAGCTCATCCTTTACAAAGTCTTGCAGACGTTGCATTTGTCAAACTCTCTCCTGCAGAATTATTGATTCCTTCATTAAAAATGCTGTCTAGGAAGCAAGTTTCACATTCCAGATGGAAAAGGATGAGTACTTTCCACATTTAAGGAACCCAAATATTTAATATTAATCCCTTGGAGAATTCTGGGATGTGCCAGGCAAATGGCTGAATCCAACTCTGGACAGAAACAAATATTAGTCTGGGAAATGAAACATTAGTGATTTCTTTTGATGTTGCAGGCTATGTATCTGCTTCTGGAAAGGAGTTGCATTTAACTCTCAGGGAGATTCATCATGACAAATTTTACTTCTCTATACAGCAATCAAAAATACTTAATAATCAGTTTGATATGCAATTTGCAACGGAGGCCTACTCTCTGGTGAACATCACATTCATTAAGTTTATCATCTTTCTTCTTTCCTTTCTCCTGTGTGCCGTGGGGTGCGTCCACTTTCAGACGGTCTGTTTTGTTGTGTGAAACACTTCGTAGGGGGACAGCTGTATATCATGAGGGGTAAGGCAACAGTCACCTTTTGACAACTAAGTAATTGCAGCGTGTATGAGTCTAGAAGTTAGAAACTTTTGGTACGGTCCAGCAGGTCAATCTGCATTTTTCAAACTGAAATTATTATTTCAGAAAACAAACAAACAAAAAAAATATATATAATAATTCATGATGTTTTAGTTTTTTAGTTTTCTCAGTCATTTTCTTTGACTTGATTTAAAGAGTCAAACTACCCCTAATCATTCATTCAACTGCAGTAATATGCAGTTATATTAGTTATTTATTTTTACACAGTGTTATGAACAGTTATTTTGTCTTAAAACAACAAAAAGTACCTACATGTAATACATAATACAGAAATGTTTACTAGCAGATTACTAGCAACAATTTGTCTTTATTTGTAGAATCTATTTATCACTTTGGCATTAGTTTTTTTTAAATATTTTCTGGTTAAAGAAGCCATATTGTTGATGAAGATTGATTTGTAAAAGCAATTTTAAAAAGTAAAACACAAGAGGGTGGATACTTTTTATTAGCACTTTACGTTCTATTAAAATGTCTGCTGCAGTGCCTAATTTTAACCACTTGATGGCACTCCTTCCCTGATCTCCCGCATGTCTCTCCTTCCAGACACCTACGTCAAACTGACCATGCTAGACTCCAAGGGCAAAGAGATGTCCAAGCGCAAGACGGGCGTGTGCCGCGGCCAGCCTAACCCCACCTACAAGGAGACGTTTGTCTTCCAGGTGGCGCTCTTCCAGCTGTCCGAGGTGTCGCTGGTGGTGTCCGTGTTCTGCAGGCGGAGCAGCATGAGGCCCAGGGAGAGGCTGGGCTGGGTCTCCTTGGGCCACAGCAGCACCACCGAGGAGCAGCAATCCCACTGGACAGAGATGAGGGAGGCAGAGGGACAGCAGGTCTGCCACTGGCACACTCTGACCGACACCTAGGAGAGGCTGTATGAGGAATTATGAGCAAACGTAAAGAGCATCCAAAGCTCTGGAAGAGCAGGGAACACCTTCTGCGATGAGTGTCCTTGTGTGCGGTGCATTCAGGTGTGAGGGTGGGAGAAGCTTCCCGGTCCTCACTGCCAGACTGCATGGCTGCCCTGTAACCTGCCACAGGGAGGATTCATACCTCTGACTCCAGCCTTCTGAACAACACACTGTTAAAAAAAAACTGACACTGTAATTCAAACTCATAAGTAAAAACTATTTGTTTTATATTAAGAGATTATTTTCACAGCAAAATGCGCATGCACACGAAGTGTTTACAGGACCAACATGACACAACGCGTCCAGACGGCTTCAGACTAGGAATTTCGGACCACAGAGTTTGGTGCCGGACCGGCAAGACTCCTTCCAATTGTTTTCTGGGCTTCAGCTATCACCAGCATATCAGACATTTCGCCAGCACTGACAAAAGAGGATGCAAAGACTGGACTGTTACAAGAGTCCTGCAACATGCTGCAACTTATGCCTACAAGCTGTTCTTTTTACAATATGTTTACATGCACACGGCATTATGCGAGACAAATTAGTTGGTTTGCTCTGTTTTTTTTTAAATGATTTTGGAGAATTATCTTTCATGGTTTACATATATATGTATATAAAATTATTTGCATAACTCTGAAACACTATGCATATGATGAAGGAAGGGTGCACTTCTTCCCCGTGCTTGCCGAGCCTCTCATGGAATTGGACACAGCTCTGCATGATGCCGTCTGCACTGAAAGACAGCTTCCCTTCCTGTGTAACACAGACTGTTTCACCGTTCAGCCTTCTGACAGCTCTGCCATGTTCATTCATGTAGAAACACGGCGCATCACGCCGGGCCGAGGAGGAGAATATATATATATATATATATATATATAGCAATTAAAATGTCACATTTCATAAAGACTAAAGAAATATTTGCCAGGAGGTGTATAAGGTTCTACCTGTATGTTAAAATGCTGAGCTGTGAGAGCAGCTGTGAGTCGGAAAAGAAGAAGAAAAATCTCCCCTGAGGACAAATGAAAACTCCAGAGTCACACCCATCCCTCCACCGGCTGGCTCGGCTCCAGAGGCGTGGGCTGCCCGCTCTGCTCTCGATCTGTCGAAGCGAGCTGCAGTCACACCTCATCAGTGGTATTAATTTCAAAATTAATGAATAACACATCCAGAATTTCTAACAGTTCAATTTCAGAGATTGTTTGAGTGTAAACAAGGAAATCATTCCACTGTTGTTTTTTTCTTCTTTTTCCTTTGGCAACTTCAGTAGAATAGAAAACATGTTTCAAAGTCCATGGCACATGGAGACGGTCAAATCTGGACTGGATTATTCCATATTAAACTTGAGTTCTTTTGTTAATAGTTTGATTTTTTTTTTTTTGTTGATAAAATTTCCCAAAAATTTGAAGCATCAGTGCTTTGTCTGGCATCTAAACTAACACAAGTGTCCAGTTTAAATGATGAGCATATTTAAGGTTGTGTCAGTGACTAAAGATGAAAACGATTAAGAGTTATGTTTTGAAGTTGCTAATGTGTTTTCAATGCAAAGTTACTTTATTCCATACTGAACCAGACACGGAAAATTCAGTAAAACCTTCAGTGCCTTCAGATTTGGGATTAAGAAAAAAAATGTACAATATTTCCATCTGAAGCTTTTTTGCAATTTTGAAGAAATATTTTCAGCTAATTTCACTCATTGAAATAGATATGCTGTGTTGCAAAAGTGTTTTTACCCAAATTGTCAGTTTGAATCAAATTTTTATTTATGCATTTCAGGTTTCCTATGATAGACCAAAACAATGAGGCGCAAATTTGTGGAGAGAAAAATGATAAACGGTTTCCAACGTTTTATTTACAAAAGAAAAAAATAAAGTGATTTGCATCTGTACTCAACCACATGTACTGATTCCCATAAATAAAATCCAGGATTCTCCTAATTGGTAAATAGTCCATCCTTATAGAAAGTTAGCTACAAAAATTATTCAACAAACAGAATCATGAAAACCAAGAAAAACAGATAAAGACTTATCTGGGCAGATAAAGACTTTTAATGCCCAATGTGAAGAGCCGTGGCGGCAGCATCGTGATGTGGGAGCGCTGTTCCTCCGCAGTGGCGAGAAAAATGGTCAGAATTGATGGGAAGGTAGGCAGAACTAAATACAGAGCGATTGTGGAAGAAAACCTGTTAGTGGAGGCAAAGATTTGGAACTGAAGAGAGGATTTCCATTCCAGCAGGACAACAACTCTGGACAGATGGCCAAAGTTACAAACGAATGAACATGCTGTGACCCGAGACAAAGTACTGACCTAAACCTAATTGAGAATCTGTGCCACAGCTTGAAAACTGCTCAGCAAATATGTTATACAAAGTATGGATTTAGAGGGAGCTGAAAACATATGGACAAAACTTCCAGATTGATTTCTTGTAGAAACGTTGAAAACCCGAGGATCGTTTTACATTCACAGCCACATTCTGCTTTGTGTTGGTCTGTTCCAGAAAAAAAAAAGATGTTTGTGGCTAGAAGGTGACAAAATGTACTAAAATTCAAGAGGTAGGAATCCCTTTGCGAGAGTCAAAAGACATCAAAAATAAAAATGAGGACATGAGTCAAGAACATTTCTTATTAGACAAGTTTTTATTCCCATTCATCTGGCCTTTGAATGGCATGTCTGACGCTGTCATCAGTCTGACAGCACAAGCAGCGGTGCAGTTGGCTGGAGCCAGACCAAGGAGCGCATATTTTCATCAATATTTACACCTTGCAGGGTGACTGCAGCCTTTTAGATTGATTCCGCTTCAAGCCACAGAAAACTAGTTGTGCCACTGACGCTTGAAGGGAAAAAAAAAATAAAAAATACGGAGGGAGAAATGCTGACCCATACTGAGCCCTTAGGACTTGGTCAGAGTCAAAAGATAATTACAAATATCCTGGAACAAGGGCCAGGTCACTTGTAAAAGCAGAGGAATAAGGAAATGCATTTTTTGGTCGTTTTACAACACGTCTACTAAAAATTGACTCCAATTTTGTCCAAGTGAAAAAGGCCTGATTCCATACATTTGGCCCTCGAGTCAGAGGCACCACAAGGATTTCATTGGCAGCAATATTAATGGGATCTCTCTTGTAGGTTGGGATCTGAGTGATCAGGAACAAGCAACCACAACATTATGGTTTTATTGCATGTCTTATCAGGTTTAAAAACAGCCTTTTTAATAACATCATTAATAAATATACATAATGTTGTGAAAGTTCCATAAAAGCATCCTCACAGAGTACAAATGCTGGGAAAGAACACCAATTTGAGCTTCTATTTTTTTTCCTTTTCTTGCTCCTCTGTTTTATATTAAGATTACAGAAAATTAACTGACAGTCAAATAACGAGAGACTTTGGATTTATAATACATGATGGGTTAGGCTTCAGTGGTTTGATGAGGGTTGTACCGTTCTGCATCTCTTTAGTGAGCACCTTGCAGATTTATGCTGTGTAGCTGCAAACATCGTACCCATTTGGCAAAAAAATAAAATAAAATAAAACAAAAAAAGAAACATTTTTACCTTGAGCAAAGGTAAAAAGAACAGATGTAAAAAGTTACTATCTCACGTAGATAGAGCTCTCATTCGACTAACACACGAGGACATGAGACAAGAACATTTTAGGACGACCGTGCTCTTGTTCGATACAGATGGTTTGAACTATGTGCTCCAGATCTGTGCTGCAAAGGCAGGACTTGCTATATGGTGATGACGTTCGACATTCAAGCTTTCCCAACTCTGGGAACAGGCCTCATTTTGTCAGCTCAGTACAAGCACACAAATGGCAGCAAAGAAAAAGCGAGCACATTAAGTATCTTTAGAGGCCAACAAGTTGTTGTTTTGGACCATTTCTTCTCTCAGATCATTACCTTTGCTCCTCCATGAGACAAAACAAAACTAATTAGCGAGATCTGAATGTGCTGGCTGGGGGGGGGGAATTTGTTACAATTTGACAAGACGAAAAACTGTTGCCTAGTTTCAGATTTAATGACCCAAGTGCACATTATAGTCAGAAGTTTACATACACTCCTCATGGACATGATGGACATTAATTTGAATATTTTTAACGATGCAGTTGAACAGTTTTTTCCCCCCTTGCATCTTCAGTATAAAACATTTGGCGTAGAAGTTTTGCTTAAATATCTAAATTTACACCCCAAGGCTTCTGACAAGATCCTGCTGAATACTGGACAACTCTTCTTAACAGAATTAATAGAGATTATTTTATAATTGGTTTGTTTCCCCTCACAGAAGCAGCTTAAATCACTACATTCACATTAATAGTGAGAGTTCCTACACAGTTCCTATGTGAAACTTTAAACTTTCCCATCAGGAAAGAATAACGAGAAAAATTTAACTCAAGGAAGGAAATAAAGTGCTCAAGGAAGGAAATAAAGTGCTCAAGGAAGTGAGGGAGCAAGAGACAATGGACAAGGAAAGGAAGTACATGTAAAAGAAACTGGGAATTGAAGGCAGAAGAAAGAACAATAATATAGAGATTAATGTCTGGAAAGAACATTATTTCTCCATCCTTATAAATACTAAAACCAAACCAGAATGCCTAGGAACACTAACTAGGGTAGAGGGCAGGAAAAATAGTGTGAGCATTCAACAGCATGTTTGATCTGGTTTGGGATTATTGTACCGTTGATGTGTAAACAAAACAAAATCCAAAATAAATTTAAACTTGCTCGACGAATTATTGCATTTAATAATCATAGAAATGTTGTATTTTTACCCACTAATGTGGGATTTATGCTGATGAGTGTATATAAACTTCTGACTACGGTTGGACAGACCTCCAACTGCCTCCATAATACATTCTACTGAAACTGTCTGTTGATTTTTGTGATACTGATCATTTTCAGCCATTTGGTTAATATCGCTTCCTTAAAAATGATTTGAGTTGGATAACATGATGGTTGGTTTTATTGACACATTTGAGGCATTATGGTGACCACTAAAGTGAATTCCTCTGGGGGACGCAACGCTGCTAAGACATGATTGGACTGAGCTGTTGTCATTTTGATTTCCCAAAAGGCAGGGAGGTCTCAAAGTTTCCACTAGATGTAAATTTACACATTTAAACGACATCATTTAAAAAAGAAAAAAAGAAAAAGGGAAAACAAAAAAAGAACAGTTCGATAAAATACGTCTGATCATCAGTGCTTGAGTTTGAAGAACAGTTTTCAACTGAATTGCTCTCAGCTGAAGCCATAGTTCTGTCCGTTTCTTCCGCAACTCCACCATCAGGAGGAGAGAAGCGTTTCTGTACACTGTAAGTCTGCCTGCTTTTTCGTGGCAGGCAGGTAAGAGGTGCAAATGTCTTCTGTAACTAGTGGTTGATGATTGAACATGATTGAAAAGGCGTGTAAAAAACAAGAAGTGACGTCCGCTGAAAAGGCTTCATTTCTCGGCAGTGGTTTCTCTCAACCTACACTCTCTGAATTTCCAGCTGGTTAAGGTTAAACGTTCAATCCGCCTTCACAAAATGCGAGCCCAAAAAATTCTTCCTGCATGTTTATGCTGCAGTCCAGCCGTCAGTCTTCATCACTACCTGCAGTGGATGTGTCAGTCTGTCAATCTCTCCCTTCTGGCTGTCTGCGAAGACGCTTCACCCCCGGCTAGATGAATTTGAAACACTTTGTCTTATCGTGGGGCAAACGAGTCTTAAACAGCACAGAGTCCACTCTGAACTGCGTGTATAGCAGCGGCATGTAACCGTACACCTTGACAAAGAAGTTGATGCATTTGTGGCGCTCGTGGAAGTGCGAGTCGTCGTGTGAAAGGGCCTGAGGACAACCGGGGCAGCGGAAAGTCCAGCGGGAGGTTACCTGAAATAAACAGAGGGACTGTAAAGACGCAGTTTTTCACTTTGAAAGGCAATTTGGCAGTCTTCAAAACACACCGCTAACTGTTGCTGAAGGCCCTCTCGTAGGGAAGGAGTGTGTAGATTTACGACATTGGCTTGTCGTAAACATGCCGTCTAGTAATAAATGTCCTTCCAAGAGAAATTCTGAAGAAAACTCAGCCGTAAAGCACCGATTCAATCTGCTGTTTTGTAATTCATAATTGTGTGTGTGCAATATTGAAAGTGCCAATTTGAGTAATGGCATGTCTAAATGGGCACAAACAAAAATACACAGGTCTGAAGAGAATGGATGGATTAAATGCCAATAAGACAACAGCAGAAGGTAACGCAGCATAAAGTTCTCACAACTTTGGAATTTCTTACTTTACAGTCAAACTTCTATGCATTTTATGTAGATTTTATTGATTAACACAGAGAAAGTAGCGCATTATTGCAAAGTGGAAAAAAATTATACATCCTAAAAGGCTTCATCAGTAAAATCTTAAAACTGAGTAAAAACATAACATCCTTCAGTGGAACTCCAGCTTCAGCTCTCTGGGAATGTTTCCAACAGGTTTACACATCTAAATGTTGAGGTTAATATCTATTTTTCTTTAAGAAGAGCTGAAGCTTATCTGTTCATTTAAGTTTTCAGATCTCCTTTATTTAAACCGGAGAATCTGACAAGATTACAGATAAAAGGCAGAAAATTAAAAATGTCAAGGCTAAAAAAAAATTAGAGAATCTTCAAAATAAAACAGAAATAGGAACAAGTCCAAAAATAACATCCAAAAACGTGAAAAAAAAAAAAATCAGTCCAAGATCAATTTTAACGAGGTCGACAGAATTAATAAGTTTGTTTAGCGATCAGTAGAACAAGTCAAGAAAAGTCATATTTAGCCCTCTACAAATGCAGACTTCTCTTCCACGTGGCTTCAAAACTCTCAATTCTAGCAAGTGATGCAGCACACAAAGCAACACTGTACTGCTGGAAGTGGTTTTGAGGTTTGAACATATTTCAAGAATAGTGCTTGTTAGAGATATAAGAGAAACAAGTCAAAGCCTCCTAAGTGTTAAAAACAGATATAAATGTTGAATGGTGGTAATTTTCTCCATCTGGTAGACTTTGGCACAAAGAATATTTTCATGCACTAGGAATCATTTGTGCACTTAAAAGACAAAAGATAAAAATTTTAAATATATGTGTATATATTATGAAACTGAACATTTCAACTCTCAGAGCAGATGTTTGAAAGAAAATAACACATTGGGTCTCTAACTCAGAGACTCAGATTATCACACATCATGTTAATGTGTGTCATTTTAATGCTATGATGTGAGAGGAAAATTTTATTTGGATTTTAAAGCTTTAATTGATAACAATTTAGTTGTATTTTGTAGTTTGTGAAGCAGTCTGCCTAAGTTTCTAACAAATTCTATTAGCTTCACTTTGTTTAGTCTTTAACACCAGATTAATCATTTAAGGAAAGCATTGTTCTGTTCTGCAAACCACCTAGCACTAAATATTTCATTTAGAAGTGCTATCGACAGGATGCTAAACTCTTGAAATGTTGCAGCAGAGTCGATGCTGCTTAAACTTTCATTTAGGTCCATCAGCAATGCTGACAAAGAAAGAAAAATTGGATTAAAGCTTTGTTTTAGCCTAAGTTGTGAGAACATTGTAACACACAAAGCCATCAAAGGCCCATTTAAAGTCCGTTCTCGGAAATTCTCTAGAGCAATTGCAAAGTCCGCCTGAGACGGTGCGTCTTCCAGACAGAAGGAACAAGTGTTGGCTAATCAAGCAGCAAGCGGGTGAAATCTTACAATGCATTGAAGCGAAAAACATCAGTCTGCAGCTGAGAGGGGGGAAAGCCTGTTTCTGTCTACCACTGTCTGAAAAATAAGGACACGTTGTTTAACAATGACGGTGGTAAATCTGCTGCTGTGCAGACATGCTGCCCATTTAAGATTTCAATTATGAAAGAAAAAAAACTAGCAAAACATTCAGGTTTGAATGCTGCCAATTTTTCACCAGCGGTGCAATAAAAAAAAAAGCAATTTAATTTTCAATCTTATTTGTCCTATTGGGTGTAGAAGAAGGGAAATATATTCCCTCAGCCATAAGAACGACAGATTTGCTCCAAATTCAATATTCAAAGGGTTTACTCTTCAGTGAAGTGCTGTCATAAAACACCCTCCCTCCACCAAAGATGGCTTTAATTCTCTGCGGAATATCCCCAGTCTGATAAACCAGACATAACTTCAAAACCAAAGGCTCCAACAGCTTTCATGGCTTGATTGCCATAATTATTTGCCTAGGCATAAGCATGTTGTGCAGCGATGAATGTCCTTCCAATAAAAATCCAGAACAGAAAAAGCAAGCATAACCCACCGACGTGAGCTTGTCTTTGAGTTAAACTTTTATTTTTTTATGCGGGTAATATTGGATATGCCAGTTTGAGTAATGGAGATTCTAAATAGAGAAAAATAAAAATACATTAAACCCAGGGGGAGAAACAGAAACTTGAAGAGTGAGGACACAGAATGTCGTTTCTGACCTTGATTGGTGGTTTGCGGGTTATGTGAGACACCAGAAAGTTCATTGCAATGTCCTCGCAGTTTATGTACTCGTCCACCATGTCCCTGATGGCCTGGGGCATCACGTAAGAGTACAGGTAGGCGTAGTACTAAAGGACAAAAAACACGCAGGGAAAATCTGTCAGCACCATGACTGTATTAAACTCTACAGCGTGTGATTTATTTATTATTTATTTTTAAGATTTTCTTTTATCTTACCTTATGGAAGAAAGCAGCTCCTGTCAGGACCATGGAGAGCTCACAAGAGTAGTTGGAGTTGTAGAGCCAGGACTGATGGTTGACGTCCCACGCATGATACCTCCCTGGGAAACCGACGATGCGATCTCTGGCCTCACGCCACACTCTGAGAGATGCCACCAAACGGAGAAAACAAACAGCTTTAGTCATTCAAAACCTTGTCTTCAGACCTCAAGTCTGAAAGTTTGCTCAGGTTGTTAGAACTTTCTCAAATGTGGCAATCACAAATATGAGCAAAATTGTGAAGTGGAAAAACAATTATTTTCAGCATTTTACAAATTGAAGTCCAAAAAGTATGCCATGCATTTGTATTCATTCAGCCTGAGCCAATAAAGCAGTAAACCACATTTTCAATGTATTTAAAATGTCAAAATATTTTAACGTTTTAACTCCAGTCTATGGCTTTCAACCTTTATTACAGACTATAGTTTCTGGGTTGATGTTCTTCAGGAAGATGAAGTCCTAGTCTAAAGTCTTTTTCAACCTCTAAAAGAGTTTCTTCCACAATTGTTAGGCTTAACTTAGCTCCATCCATCTCACCTCAGCTTTACTAAGATAAAAGTTTATAAGATTAAAATCCACACAAAGTGGATTATTTGTCATGTATGCAACATCTGAAGCACTGTAATTTAGAGGTAACATAGCAAAGATGGCTAAATGCAAATGAACTCTGTATTTCTCAGACTTTTCAACGCAACGCAGTTATGCATCACTTTGTGCCTAAATGTATGAATACTTTGCATATATTCTTTCATGTAACATCTGTATGACACCAGTAAAACAGCAACAAATATACTTCATCTGAGCTCAGTGTTTCAGTTTATGAGAGGAGATAACTGGACTCCTCCCATCCAGGAGATCAACAGAATGTCCAAAAGCAAATCAACTTTTCTAATGCATTCATGTGCAGCCACTTTAAAAATCTAAGATGCTCAATGGCACAGGGACTTCTCTCTCCCTGGAGAGGAGGTCAGGAAACATTCCTGAGTAATCATTGGGAGGGAGTTTGAGAAAATGCATCACATATGACCCAGTACACAGACAAACAGTCAGAGGGCCAGTTTCTGCCTGTCTGGACAAGCTACCACAGCGGCACGAACAACACGGGAACAGGGATGAGAACTCTGCAGGAAAAAACTGCTTTTATTTGGTTTAAACACAGACTTCACATTTGAGCTATTCAACAGACGCATGACTACTTCAGTTTCTTTTTTATTTATTGTGTTATATTCCGTGTATTCAGTAGTTTCCTTCAAAGTCTTTTTTTTAATATTTGGGATGTTTCTTTTCTCCTCAGAGGCAAAACCCTTAAAAGCTGCAACTACGACTGATTGAGAATTAGGTTTGGCTTTAAATAACAAATTTCATCAGATATAATTAAACTTCTAAATTTAATATAATCATAAAATAATAATAATAAAGTAATGAAAATGATTAATGTTTTAAAATGAATAAGAAGAGAATTGGAAGGTCAGGCCTCAAAGATCAGCGTTCGGCCAGAAAACTGCAATCAGTGCACCGCAAGGAAAAACACACACTTCAGACCTACTGGCAAGTACAGAGGCGCAAGAGTGTTGATGCAGGTTTGTTTACCAATTAGAGGACCAGGTTATCTTATAGTTAAGTCGACCCCCAACTTCTCTCTGTCCAAACGTAATTTACAATCAAATGCGACACCACAGTGGGTCAGATTCCTCTCTAATTGATGAGAGAGACAGAAAAACTTCGACTCCACATGCTCTTGTTTCAGTTGTTAAATCTTAGTGTTTGAAATCATTCTTGTAGGCACAAAACAGAGAAAACAACACTACTCAGAGCTTCACTGACCTAAAGCCAAACATGATCTCGTCGTGCCGAAGATGAGCGTCGTCATCGATGGAGAGGACGGCCTCAGTTTCCACGACGTCCCAGGGTAGAAAGCGGTTGTTGAGGCTGTTCTTTTCTGTGCGGACAACCTGCAGGCATGAGTTTGGCAAAAAAGGGCATTTATATAAGGCAGCACGGAGAACATTTTACATAACACTACCCAGAACAGTTTGAAAAGAGATCCAAAAGAAAATGACTGCACAGGAAAACAGGGCATCATGTATTGAGATCTATTACTTGTCTTTTCTTTTTATTGCTGGCCATTTTATTTTATTATAACTGAAAAAAAAAAAAAAAAACTGGCCAAATTACTAATTGGCATTAAACTTATGAAATACATGTTGTAAATCTTCCTGTAATACATAGAAACATTACATTTTGCAGTGATTCGAATTTGCAATAACTCTTATTTTTAATGTGTATTTCAGAAACATTAGCAAGGAAGCAGGCAGTTTATTAATGATGCCAATTCTGCTTTGTGTGTATTTGGGTCAATGACATCACACATGCTACAAAAATAAATCTGCGTGCTTCTAATAGTAAACACCATAACGATTAAAACCTTTGAATAAAGACAAACTATTCAAATGCTAGTATTAGTTTAGAAAAGAAAAGATAAAGAAATCTGATAAAGGTTAATGGATGATGGCTTGCCTTATGTGATGCCATTAAAACTGTGTGTAAGTCTGACAAATGTGTTTATTTCTTTTTTAAATCCTGATTAGAAAAACAAAATAACGCAAAACAATTGGAAAAAAACTAACCACGACATGTTTTACAAGTGACAAGCTACAGCTTAGGTGTCTACTACTGATTTTATGAAGCATTCCAGCAAGGAGGTTTAACAAATCTTTACCAGGAGGCATAGAGAGAACACGAATCTTACCACAATAGGCAGGCCGATGTCTGGCCAGAGGAGGTCATCTGAAGGAGGCTTTGGTGAATTCCACACCACCACTACCTTGTTAAGGTACGGCAGCCCATTGAGCCTCTCCAGAGAGTTCATCAGCACTTCCTCCCTTTCATATGTCAGCATGACCACGGTGAACTGCTCTCTGGGGACATTCCCTCCAAGAGCAGCCTGAAATTCCTTCCCAGAGCCTCCAGAACCCCCACCAATGGGCCTGAAACCGGTTCCAGAGCCAAGAAATTTGGCTTCTGAGGGCAACACTGGGTCCAGAGGAGTGTGGGGAAACAGATGGAAGGGCCCCGGGGCCCTGTTCCATGCTCTGTACGTGTCTGCTGCTGTGTATGTGAAGTTGCGGAGGAAGCGGGGAGAGGCATATGGAGGCTCCGTCTCTACGGGACCAAGATCCAGATCCCCATTGTCGGCCAAGTTGGCGTCCGTTCCCGCCAGCTTCCCAGCTTTGTGGGGAATCTCCTGCGCGGGCTCGTCCTTGATTGGAGCAGCAGGAATCTGGATGCTGGTTCGTATGCTTGCAAGAATGGTGTTGAGAACATTCTCAGAGGTTGAGAAGTACGTCTCCCAGAGAAAACGACCCTGCCGCCTCATGGCGAGCATGTCGTTGTCCGATAGGCTGCGCAGCAAGAAGTGGAGCTCTGTGACACGCGCCTTGGGTACTATAATGGCGGCTTCAGTCCAGCGGATAAATTGGTGGTAAGGTAGTCTAGAGTGGTCCCCTAACACAACAGGAATCGCTCCTACCTCTAAGGCTTCAAACAGCCGCATGCCGCAGCCTGCTGAGGCAACCAGGTGTCCGTCCCCTGGAGCGATCACCAGAGCGAACGTCGAAGCCTTGAGCACCTCCAGCCTGTCCTCCCTCTCCCCACAAAGAGACCATTCTGTCGGCAAACTGGGCTTTGGATTCTTGCATGTGAACTCCACCAGAACCTGATCTAGGTGGCTGTCCTGGACTGCTTTTAAAGTGCCAATTATTCGATCATCGTAGTCGGCGGGCGGATCTCCCTCCAGTTCCTCCTCAACCGATTGAGGGGGTGCCTCCTGGAGACTGCTCCTTAGAGACTCCACCCTCTCACCCTGGAAAGTGAAAAGATATTTCCTCTTTACAGGAACCTGTGGTGGAACCTCCAAAAAGTTGGGTTCTGACAGAGCGTGAACCAGCGGGGACACAACTAGGTCGAATCCCTCACGGTACTGCTGTTCCAGGAAAGTGGACTGGGCGACCACTGCCCTTCCTGTGCTGACATTATACAAGAAATTCTGAGTCAAGGACTTTCTGGAAAAATGCACCAGAACATGATTGTGTCCATCAGACCTCCAGTAAGGAAGAGCTTTCAGCTGCTTCTCCAGCTCTGAAGGAGACAGCAAAGGGGAGGACTCTAGTATTTCTCCCACCAGAACTAAATATAAACAGGCGATACTTGGGTTATCGGTTACATAAATATTGCTTTTAACGGATGCCGCAAAAGCCTGCTTCACCAGTGGGTCAAGATTATTCCCCCAAGAATAAGAACTTGTGTCATAGACATAAACGGGAAACCCAGAAGTAAGAGGACAGCGTGCGTAGTCAAAGCAAGACCGCAGACGACAGGAACGCGCAGACTTCGGTGGTGGTAGTCCTGGGTCCTCTTTGTCTGGTAGCAGTCGAACAGGCAAAGACAGCTTGGGCTGGTTCTGGGCCATCAGTTCTTTATAGGAATGCTCGGTCTGGCTGATGACGTTTTTCAGCTGCAGCAGATCCTGCTTGGCGCTGTCGATGCTGCGCTTGCAGGCCTCGATGCGGAGATTGAGCCTGGCGATCTCGCCATTGAGTTCCTGCCTCTTGGCCTCCAGCTGCAGCAGCTCCTCACTAACAGACTCGCGGATGCGGCATAGGTCCTGTACGTGTTTGGCTTCACACAGCTCCCCGCCGGGACGGGGTCCAAAGATGCGCTTGTCAGGTCCACCGGCTTCATCAATGGTGGTGAGGTAGTAATGGGCGATGAGCGGGAAGAAGACCAAGATGAAGAAGAGCATGAAACTGAGCCATGTGAGACGTACCCGGCGCAGCACCCATGTCTGGCCTCCGACACCCACTCCACCACCGTTACGCTGCATCATTTATCGATCCTTTCCTCGTCCCACTAAGGAACTGTTTCTATAAGGAGCAGCAGCCATGGTCGACCTTGTCAGCAAGGTGGTGGGGCAGAAACTAAACCATTAAGTCTTCTCTAAAGGTCATCTGCTGCCAAATTCCTCCACAGAGAGTCCCGTAGGTGATGTGGGTTGAGGCTCAGCCTCACCTGTACTCTAAAATGTACTCTGTATTGTAACCCACTAAAGTTGATGCCATTTTCTGTTGAGAGGGGTTAAACTATTCCTCTGAATGTTTGCCAGGAAACAATTCAGCATATGCAAAGGGATAGTCCCTTGATGGATGAAGCCCGGAGTACATGATGATCATGTGACGGCTCTATGTTCATTTTTTGATCCCCCATCAGAAAACCCACGGGATGTTGATCTTTTTAAATCTCTTCAGTTTTCTTAAAATAGAAACCTGAAACAGAGAAAAGCAGAAAAAAAACATTAAGTGCCAATGATCATGTAAGGCAAGAATAAGCTCTTCTAAGTACAGATCATGTCAGGTAGTTTCATTCAAATCTCAAAATGTATATCAACTAATATACAGCAATTGTGTCTCCACACACCACAACACATCTCATACATTCTTCTCTGTGCAGGAGTGTACAGCACAACGTAGACCTCCTGCTGTGGTGCTACTGCAGCTGTTACTTCTTGCAGTCTTTTCATAAAAGGATTCATTTGTTAATGAACACAAGCAGTTTAGGTGATATGATCCAAAAAGAACAAAGCAGATGTAATTAATGAACAGCTGCATTTAACATTTTTTTGTGAAACTTCAATAGTTTGAATAAAGTATAAGAAGCAGTTAAAAAAACATTCATATACCTTGCACTTGAACTTCTATGGGAGGAGTCCACATAAATTAGCACATAATTGTGATGTGGAATGACAAGTGCAGGAGGTTTTCAAACATTCTACCAAATAAAACCCAAAATGTTGTATTTGTATTTAGCCTCTTTCATACTCCAGTGCTACTAACCATCACAAGAAGTCTAATTATCATATAGGAGCAGGGCTGCAACTAATGATTACCTTAGTAATCAATTAGTCTATCAATTATTTTGACAATCTGGTAACAAAATTGTCAGTTATGAAATATTTGTTCTGGTCGATCATATAAAACCCCAAAATTACATACATATTGACTTATTCATTTTTGTTAGGGACATGCAGTTGAAAATGAAATAAAAAAGCAAGTTGGGGTGAAGGAGACCATAGTAACGAAGCAATATGTATGAGATTTATAGTCAAAGCTTTGCAAAGCCAGCCAGAGGCTCAGCTGTTCAGCCTGTGCATGATTGCTTCCCACAGAAGACAAATATCAGTGAGCTGAACAATACAAGGTATCTTTGGTTTTCAATTAACTTTTCAATTTAATCTTTTTTTCCATGTCACACAGAGCCCAAACTCTGGAGAGCCGTCATTTGTAACACACACCCAGCCAGGAAATTAACATCAAAAGCACCTTCAGCAAATCTCATTAAAGCCCTCCTCCTGCATCCTGACCTCAACGCAGACTCAAATTATCGAGCACCCTTGATAAGAGTCCATGCTAGAGAGCGATGATTGCCTCAGGACTGGGAAAGGCTCAGGCATACAGAAGATAAACAGCTGCACCATCTGATGAATAGTGTTAAACTGATATCTCAGTATTGGGACAAAAATAAAACAGGACACACAAAGAGTATAAAAAAATATGTATCACAAGTTTTCCCATCGGTTTCTAAGAGCAGCGAGAGATGTGTTGCTCAAGCTATAGCTACATCAAAAGCCTTGTAGATGTCACCTGATAGGCCAAGAGCCAAACAGTTCTTATCAAGCACTTTACAAACCCAAAACACACCGAACAAGTTACATGAAGCAGTTCAGAGCTACACAAAGACCAGAGGAATGTAGGAGGTGTTTATCCTCCATGACATAATCACCTTTCATAAGCAAGTTGTCTCTGAGCTACTGCTACATCTGAGCCTTCTTAGATCAGCCCAGAGGCCGAGATCATCTTTAGAACAGATATTTTTCACTTCAGACATCCTTTCTGAGTCAAATAAACCTCTGCATGCTGCTCATAAGTCATACATCTGAGATTACAAATGTATGTTTCCATTTTCTCCTTGGAACCTACTTTGGCACAACTTGGGGTGTCGATGCAAGCCCAATAAGTCCTATCACAACAGTATAAACATGCTAATGCTACACTTGCACTTTAGAAAACAACTCAGTCTAATTACTGAATTTCATTAACTTCAAAAAGTGAAAGTCATAGACGGTTCACACACAAACTGATATATTTAGTTATGTCTTAAAACTATGGAGAGCTTAGTGTCCCTTACATTTATATTTCACAAGCCAAATAAAAAAAGATTGTTCAATACAGAAGTAACCACAGTTCCGCTAAGAGTCGAAGACTGCTGACTTAACAGTTGTCATTTCACCGTCAACACAGAGTTAAGACATAAAAGAGCTGGAGGGTCACTGAGAAACATGTCAAAAGCAATTATTATAAAACTTAGTGAAAGAAAAAAGATGAAACAACAAATATAACTGACCTTGGGAGGATTATGAAAGAAAATCCAATCATGAGTTTGGAATACATAGGCTAATTAATGTATTAACCTTTGAAATGGGAACAAAATACACAAATGGACAATTCATTTTCAGATAACGGCCTACACGTTAAGTAATGCTTTATTATTTAGAATACTTGCCTCTGCACTTAAGTTTTAAGGTTAATGTAGGACGGTTTGTTGATGCCATTTATTTCTCTCAGGTTGCATATAAAATACAAATTCACAGGACGGATGACATTTTCAACACTGGCCTCTGTCTTGTTGCACAGTGACTGCATCTATCACAACAGCCTGATTAATTAGTGCATGGCTGCCAGAATTAGAGGCCTCATAGCACACAGATGTTAGCAGATGTGGCCGCTAGGCCTAATCTGGAACCAAAAACATGCTGCCTTAAAGCTCTGCCTGCGGCTGCCTTTTGGGAAACGGAGCAACATGCATAGATAAGTCCGAATTTCAATCTCTTCAGTAACGGCTCTCTAATCTGCAGAAAGTTGTCCCTCTGCTGCAGGCAGCCTAATCTGACTCCAGTTTGCATGGAGAACACACGATGAAGCATTGATTGCGCTCAACTTACTTTGTGGGGATCGATGATAATGCTATCATTACCTACCGCCAAGCTGCGAGGCTTTGGCTGCCATTAAGGGAAGCTGATGGAGCCATTTTACTTGTGAGACTGAAGCAACATTAAACAGAGCCACATAAAAAAAGAGATAAAACATAACAAGTCTTTGCTTATGCAACACAGACTGCAGCAATAACACCACCACAACACTTTGTAGTTGTACCTGCATGGGTTGCAGCCAAATTAATAGTTATGAAGTCTTGCTTCTCATGGGAGAGGGAAGCTGTAGCCGACCAACTCATCTGACCCAGATAAGAAAAAAGCATTTGCACCACATGAAAAAGCACCAAGCAGGAAAACTGTTGGTTGGTTCCATGAATAAATTAGTATGCATTACTCAAGAAGTGCTAATATGATTTACTAATTCAGTCAACACGGCCTAATTTAATTCTATAGAAAATTTGCAGCTTGTAGACAAAATGGCAGCAACAGCATCTAGTAAGGTTTGCACCAAAATATGCATGATGATGGATTTAAACCGTAATAATAATCAAGAGGTTTAGATGAAGTATATTCATGCGATTGACAGCAGCAGGTGCTGGACACTGAGTGGGACTCAGATAGAGGGGGATGCTGTCTCCGAGTTCCCAGACATCAGAGGGTTAGCTCTTGTATAAATGTTTGAACAGTGTTTTTGCAAACTGGCAGCACTTTACGAGGCAGGCGTTGCAAAATTATTTTTGTAGGAAACACAGATCAGACTATGCAGTCGTCCAGCTGTAACAAGTTTTTAAAAGAGGCGACAACAAATTTGACAAGATCCAAAACCAAAGAGCAGCAGAGAGTGCGTTAGCAGCCAGGAGTTAGAGAGAGAAATTTGACTTTTAAGCCTAACGTTTTGTTTATTTCTGTCTGTCCACAAGAAATCTGAGCTTTAGACACAGCTGACAGGAGGACCTAGAGAAACCCGCAGGAAGACTCCGACTTAGTGAAGACAAAGTCGTTCAATAAATTGCAACTAAAACTACAATGAAATGATTCAGAATGTTTTTGCCTCTTTCATAATCATTTAAAATGAATTGTGTTTAACTTCCAAGAGCAAACAATGATTATTTAGAGAAGAATGTGACTGGACAGAATGATGAAGTACAGCTCATTAAATCTTTTCCCCTTCTTTTGTTCTATTCTTGATATTCTATATGGGAAATAGTTTTCCCTTATTAAAACACACACTATTGTATACTCCCATAGTTCATGGCCTAGAAGAGACAATTCAAGTATGAACATAAATATTTATAGCTTGGCTGACAAAGTAGATGCACTTTTCATCATTTGACAACAAATGTACATACCAAGCTATTGTTTTATGTTTGTAGGTGAAATTATTAACCTATAACATGCTAACTAGTTCCTAAAAATTACCAGCACTGTCTAAGTCTGTTTAATACAGTTTTCAAAAAGTGAAAACTGTATTTAACATGACATCTTAAATGAGGTGATGAATCTTTAAATTGAGTTCTAAACACATCCAATTGAGATGTTGTATATGAAATGTCAAAATTGTTATGGCTTACAGATAATATAGATATATTCATTAAAAATAAAAATGGTCATTTGTTTGCCTTTATCAAAAATTATTAGATAATGTGATACAAGTAAAACTATTTTTTTTAGATTAAATATTTTTGTTTAAGACAATTGTAAAAGTGATGCAGGTTATCATGGTGAACCCAGAATGGATCAGACTGTTTATGCAAAACACGGAACCTCAAATTTCACCCAATATATTTGCTGACGTGATCAAACCTCTGAAAGAAAAAGAAATATATATTAAATACTAGACTTATAAAATGCTGAGTCTATTTGTGCAAATCAGCTGAATAAAAAAACACTGCAAAGTGCTGCCAAGAACAATAATATGGTTAAAATGGACATTATTAATCCAGAATCAATTTAACTTGCTTCACACAACATGCATAGTGCTTTATGTACGTTCACTGCTGAATTAGATTGAAATTCTGAAGTAAAACTTTATTCCGTTAGTTTACTTAAATCATGCATTAATATAATTAAAATTCAACAAATAATGAGAACAATTTCTCCTAACTACTGAATTTTAAACTGATCTCCAAACAAGCTGCAGCAGCACATGTCAAATAATCCTGATGGTTTTGGGACCGCATTATATTACTCTCCTTATGGGGCTTTGGCTCAGTGTGCTTGCAGACTACACTTCCATTAAATAACTGGGAATTTATAGACAATATTAAGGGAAGGCAT